ATATTATCATATAAGTCCACTTCTCTTAGAAAGGCCAACAATTTTGATTTTATAAATTATATTATACTAATGTATGTATATGTATTAAATTTCATCAATGAATTTATTTATACAGACTTATAAACTAATATGCMTTTGTAACTAAAAATTAAACTACTTATTTTTTTTTAAGGGAAAACTACAAAATTAAATAAAAACTTTATATAGGTGTATAGTGTATATAAACATATTTAATTGGTTAAAACAATTTTGACCAAAATTAAATAATCATATCTTGAAAAAAAAAAATAGATTTTATGTAACTGTATATTTAGGTAATCAATATTTTTGACTACATTTTTTTTCTGCTTTATTGTAATAATTATTATCTATTTAGAAAATTAAGACAAATAATCACAAATAACATTTAAGCATTTATAGCTTTCATAATAATTTAATTTTGTAATTAAAATGTTTAAAAAATGCATTTAAATAATAATACTGCAAACATATAAGACATATAAGTAATYCAATCAAGCTAATTTATTAAATTAATACCATTTCAATCATCTGAAAACTTGAAAACACAGTTTCCGTTAACGGATCTGGTTAGTCCATCCGTACAATCAGATTCCTTAATCTTAACTGGAGGATTTATAAAAAATCTTGAATGAATTCGATCTGATTCGGTTGTTGTATGGTCATCTACGATCACAACTTTCTTGGTTATAGAATCAACACCGTTTGACTTAGTACCAGTATACTTCTGTGTTGTACTACTCGTATGAAATTTTTTGCCATTTGTGGCAGTGCTGTTTGATCTTATACATGTTTTCGTTGTATTGCAGGCAGGAAACGGCTTGGAATTTCGTCCTACAGGATTGACCAAAGTGGTAATGTTGATTTTTGTGGTACTATTGATCCGATTTTGGTGTTTGTAATTGGGACTTCTATTAGTCGACGTTTGATGCACGTGTCTCGCGTATAATGAGGTAACTACGAAAGTCAGCAACAATAAAAAAATTGATAATTTCATTATCACAATAATACTGTGATGTGCGATATTTGTTAACCAGCTACTTTTACATAATATTCACTATGTGGCGATCAAAAACAAGACTGATTTAAAATTAATGCTACTATACTGCGCATAAGTATTTGAACCAGCTAATGAATGTACAATATACGCAGTAGAGAACGCGGTCTCCCTCCTTTTTATAGACTAATTGCAACAAAATATTATACAATAACTATACAATAATTATACCATTGATACTAATTTAAAATATAGGTGGGTACGGTGATAACATGAGATTAAGAAATTTTTTTTAGTACCTATGTGTCTAATTATTTCATATTATTTGTAGACGATTTTGTCCGATTTCCGCTGCCCAAAGTCAACGTACGATATAATATCATGAACACAGACTACACAGCAAATATAATTATAGATCGCGTAGAGTTTTACAGCTATACCACTATATATAGCTATATCCTATAAAAATGTTTATATCCACTCAATATCTACCTAAAAAATGTTCAATTTATCAAATATATTCCTGAAAATATAATAACAAATCAGAATATAATTAAAACAGAATTTAATTTAACACAATATATTATTATATTAATATAAAGCGTTGAAATTTTATCATTTTATCTATTTAGATCAAATAAAAATGACTTTTTACTACTGTACCACGTTATTTTTTTGACTTATAACAACTTCAATAGTGTTGAACAAATTGTTTACACTTCTGCAGTAATGCGCACAATCATTTTAATGTTATTTACACGCAAGATTATAATATCATACTATGAATATGATCGAAAACAATAAAACATTAAAACTCTATATTATACCTTATCCAAATTCATAATGATTACGAATTAAAATTAAAATATATAAGATTCACGTTTTTATCATATTTTAAATTAGATACCAACTATTGATTAAGTAAAAAAATGTAGACAGTGAATTTGTGGTATCAACGATATTCATCGTTATTTTTTAATATAAATAAATTATTTCATCGTTATTTTATATTCATCGCTTATTCAGTACATCATGTACAAATAAAAATATCCAAAAATGTTCAGTATGGAATCGGGTTTTATTATAATTGAATGAGTTGCTAGACATTTTAACGATTTCGATAGAAAATTTACAAAAAAAAAATTAATTTGTTTTAGATGTAAATAGATTACAGTTTCCTATTTATAATTAATAATTTTTTATTAATATTTTTATTGTATATGCAGATAGGTACCATATTTTCAACCATCCGAAAACTTAAGAGCACATTTTCCTCTATTGTCTCGAACCATTCCTTCTGGACACTGCCTCAACTTGGGTCTTATCAAAACCATTTGAACGTTTTTAATTAGAAAGGTATCRTTTACGAAACGATTTTGAATGTTTTCACCGTTCTCGATTATCTTATTTGATCCCTTAACTTTTTGCGTTGAAAGTTTCCGTATCCAATTTTTGTTCRTGGCGTCGACAGTTGTTTTTGCAATACTGTTTTTTCGTGAATTTAATAAATAATTATTGATAGTATTTTTACCTTCAAAACCCATGTTAAAATTTGTGGGTGATATTTGCAGCTGATTCCTAGTCGGAGTTCGTATGAAATCTGTCCCATACGCTRCCATAGCTATGCAAAAGATCAGCAACGACAGCAACAAAAACCACAAATTCGTCATCATGTATATTGTAATAAACCCAATATTATGCGTTGTGATATTTTACGAATAACATAAAATTAGGTTGACAAATGATCTCGAAAAAAAAACTGTTCCTTAGAGCATCCGACTGCAGTGATAACTGATAAAACGGCAGATTGCGATTAAATTGCCTTACCACATAGGTAATGCACTATAGTACTATAACATAATAAATGTAGTACTAAAATATAATCAGCTAACTTAAAGTCCCTCTTTTTCCACTTTATAAAATATTACGCCATATCACTTTTAATTAATATTTTTATTATTATTATGATTAGCTTCTACAGTAAATAGGCACATAACTATAATAGCTTAATAATTAGAATACTCAATACAAACATGATAGTACAATGTAAATATAGAATATTTTTTTAAGCTAATTGATATTAATAAATAGAAATATAAAATTCGGTTAAAATGTGTATAGGAAATAATTCTTAGATACATATATAATTAAATCGTAAATAAGCGATTGTATCAAGATTAGAAGTAATGATATAGCCAAAATATGTAGGTAGGTAATTTATGGGATATAACATTTATGTAATGGCGTAATGCTATACTGTTGTAGTGCTGTGGAATAATTATTATGTTTATGCCATTATTAATTTATCATAATTAACCACTTAAAATCTCTCAAAATCTTAATTTATTATTTCGATGTTAATGTAGTTATCGATTTCTAATGGTTTCCTCCAATCGTATTCCACAACTATTAAAATGTATTACACGCTCATCCAAGTTCACGGAAACGAATAAATATAATAACGATGGTCAAGGTTCAAATTCCTGAATGGGCATTACAATGTTTTATTATCTCTATGAATTCGCATCGAACGAAATCAATCCCCCCCTCCTAAAAAAAACAACACAATTATTGATAAACGGACACTTTGTACTATATTTATTGTTTGAATTATRTACCACGACGGACACTTTATATGATGAGAAAAAATTGGTAAAAATCGATCGAGATGTTTAAATAATAGTACGAGTCATACTATTATTTAATACTGTATGACTATGCCATTTTGAGAATTAATAAATCAGATATTCATTGGAAATTTTCAAAAATTATTTATACGAGTAAATTTACTACTAACCTTTTTAACCGTTGAGTTACAAATTATAAGTTTGAATCATATTATTTTCATATTTATCATATAATTTTAAATTTTTTTATTTGTGTCATATAGGTAGTATGAATTATTTTGTAATGAACTGATTATAACACCGATTCGAGTGATAAAATATTAAAGCTGAAAAACATAAGTGTATACAGTACTATATTTATTTTTGTTTTTTTTTTTTTTTTATCTATTGAATGTAAATCTAAAATACTTACATTATTATATAGTTTTTGGTTATATACCTATTTGATAAAATACGTTTTTACATGTCGATTACATTACTACACTACTACTCTACTAAATTACGTTACTACTACACTACTCCCTTAGTATTCACCGATACTTGAATACAAAAAACATCATTTAAAATACGCAATGAAATACCATAAGGCACAGCAATACGTCACTGTGGTACCTKTGTTCCTGTTCCTACTGTAATATAGAATTGTATAACTATCTGTGGAGTAATGTACCTACTATCAATGTTTTAGTTTATATATAGTTTATAAACATTGTCAAGAATCAAAATGTTGATAACGTTATCGTGTTAATATAGTATCAATTATCCATACATGCACAATTTCCATTATAGAATTGGCATTATTAAACTGATTGGATATTAGACCCTATATAAGATTTTGCGTTCACAGTCGAAACGATAAAAGCTATTTATAATGAAATTTGGCCGTAAAAACGTAAAGTTCATCTCTTTGATCATCGCTAAGCAATACACTTATATGAAAATCTACCTTGGTGCGTATAAGTAACAGAATAAAATATTTTTTCCAAACGATATCAATCATTATTCATTAGTTATTATCATTGGACTCGAATGTATGCGTACGAGCATTTAAATCCGAAATATGAAATATAAAATTGCTAAAAATATATAACAAGAAGTACAAGTTTACTAGACATGTTATAATATATACGAATATATTATAAACTAGTTTACTTTTTCTTCAATTAAAAATTACAAAATGTGTAAATAGACAAATAGTAATAATGACTAAGGTTATTTTAATTATTTAAATAATATTATAATAATAATATTATTGTTTTCATGATTAAATAACAAAAACATTTTGATAATGAAACCTAATGGTTTTAGTTTTGTCAAATATGTTTTCTATTGCGTTGAGCTTATAAATTATAATAGGACCTACTAAATAGGTAGATATACCAACACATCGACATGCCACCATACATTAAAGAGGCTTCTATATCCACTCAATAATAGTGTTCAATCGAAACATATTATCCAATAAAGTGATTTTCAAATTAGTTTTTTTTAGGTACCTATTCATAATTTTAATGGTCGATTGTTCACGCCAATTTTGTGCATAATATATGCAATTAAGTCGCCTTTAATTCAATTATAATAATGATAATTAAATATTGTTGGAAATCTTCTGTTAATGAACAAAAAAGAAAACAATGTGTATTAAGACTACAATTTTGACGAAATGATCGGTAGTCGAACAAAAGGGTCTTTTATGCAGTCGTGTCTTATACTACACCACGGCCTGATAGAGGGTAGCGACGACGAGTTGCGATAGACTGGGATGGACTGTGGTAGGCTGGTATGGGGAGGGAAGGTTTACGAGCAGAACATAAATCTACGAACGGGGGCGTTTTGATGTATATATACTATACGAGGACCTTAGCGTAGAACTTTGCCCGTCTAATTACAGCGAACGGGGGTGGTGGAGTCACCGTTTTCGCATATATATATACATCATACCATACCGCAGCATTATTAATCCCGAGGCCTGCTGTAAAAGGGCGTGCGAGGAAGCTTCCGCTTAAACTTTATTCGGTACGACCGGTCCGGTGTGGTTTCCGGTACAGTCGCCATCGTCTCGGGGACCCAAAATATTATATATACCTATACACACCAACTCTCGTGATGTTTAAACGAAGAACAACTTTATTATAGTAAACTATACTCGAATACTCGTATTTATTATATTACACTATAACTATTATCTGCACATATACATGTACGATTTAGGTATTTAATATATTATACTCGTATATCTATACAAAACATTTAAACACATATTTATATTATTTAACTCGGCATTCAGTTTGCCAATCCGTGTAATTTAATTTTTTTTTATTTGGAATACACAATAATATGCACCATTAACACAATGAGTATAATGTACGTGATTATGTTGTTAGATGATTATAAAAATGTGTGAGTGAAAAGCTTCTAACGTGAGATATAGAAGTCAACCGTTAATGGTTAATTATACAAGACTCGGGTTAAAGTTGTAGACATGTTGAATTTAAATTCAACAAAATACAGCGAAACCTCATTAACTCGAACATCCATAAGTTGAATTTTTACACAATACATCCAAATATACAATGATAATTGATATAGGTACTCAATTACAAGATACACTCGATAGTTKACACCTATTGTACAGCAGATCAGTTTTATGATTCTTATCATATTAATTTTTAAGTGTTCTGAATTGCTTTACAACTTATATATTTTTAATTCACAATCGAAATTAGAATAATTCTCTAAAAATTTCTTTGACTTTAAATATTGGTTAAAATAGTTTTTGATTATTAATTATTTATATTTTGCTCCAGGAATTAAATATAGGTAATATGGATTTGTAAATTTAAAAAAAAAATAAAAACTTGAAATGAAGAGATAGGTACCAAACAAAAAAATTAGGTTTTTTTTTTAAATACAAAATTTGAATTGGAAAATCAGGAAAATTAGTGTGAGCCAGTTAAATTGGCAATCCCGTATGCGAGTATATAAGTGTCAAGTGTAAATCACTCGCGTGACCTGTAATAATAATGAAATATGAATTATGCACGCGCACATGTTATGTAATATTATTACTATATATTAAGTATACTCGCTGTATATAAGACATATATACGTACTACTATATATACATACATAAAAACGAGACACACGCACATATAACCTGTAAGTATATTATATTATGTATTACGCGGCCGAGAGACCCAAACATTCCAACGACGGTTAATGGCTTATATTATTATTATTACCATCATCATCTCCCCGGGGCTGCGTTTATTGTTCCGGCGGCGGACGACAACAAAACCGGATTGGGCTCCGGCCCCACCGCACCGCACAGTGATGTCCGACCGTCGGCCGTGTTCGCAAAATATCCCGAACGAGGTTTTTTCGTCCGTTTTGCAGACCGCGTCCCGACCAATCGACCATAATAATATTATTATCCACTAATATTGTTGCGATATTATACGAGTAAATTGCATGTGCACGACCAGAGCATCGCTTATGGCAAAGGAGCATCGGCATCGCGGTGCATATTAATATATAATAATATCATATTATTATTATTATTATATTATCGTCAAATTGGCGGTAGACGGAGATTAACCATAGAGTAAGAATAAGAGTAACTCAGAGTTTTCAAATTCGACGCCACTATGGCCGGTAGGGGATCTATAGTATAAACGAAATACGGTGTTTTCGGAAATCACGCGACCGGTGGAGATCCCGTCGTAAGGCTACACTGCAAGACCGGTTGTAAGACATAGTAATAATAATAATAATAATAATAATAATAATAGTAAGAAGAAGAAGAAGAAGAAGAAGAAGAAATATTACGTTATTTTTTTCGGATCCGACGTCGGAGCAACCGAGCGGGCAGTAAAACCGGCGTCCGGCACTCTCGTACCACGCGCGTCGTCACTGGTCGCTCTAAACGAACAGTTTTCGTCATTCGCGTGCCGACTACTCCACAACGTGCGCGKTATTCTCCGATTTTGGTGAGTGATATTACGGTATAATATTATTTTACGTATATAAACAGCACAATTTTTGTTTTCTAAACGCGCCATTCGATCTAAGTAACAACGTTTTTAGACGATATTTCATATACAACATGTATGCACTGAACCAACAATATTAATATAGCTATAGATATATTATGAAAATTATAATAAGTACCTACTGATAACAACGAAAACGTTTCGATGCCCTAAGACGGGGCTGAAACCATTCCGATGAATAGCAACATAATTATGCCGATCGTCGAACATTATACAATATTGTAGGTGTTATTGTAACAATAATATTAAATTAATTCATTGTTGTCAATTTATAATCGAGTAAATTGGTGGCAAACGTTTTTCCGCCTTCCCATTGTATATTCGAGATCTTCCTTTTTCTGGTTTTCTATATTTTTWTCGCATATTTACGAATTTTTCAGATCGATAACAGATGAACACGTCAACGGCGTACTATGTTTTCATCATATTCATATTCGCATCTGGTCATAAATCTCGGAAATGTATAGCGTTAAGCCGAGCAACGTGTAACCTAACTCGGCAGCCCTCGAATGAAATTATAGCGCTTAAATGTATTAAATGTATCATGTTTTATTCCTCCGTCGTTATAGAATGGTATTTTGGTAAATCGGATGAGAATAGAATATCCATCTGATATTAAGCTACTTCAATTTACGGAAGTTTTTCGAGATAGTCSATGTAATATTTTTCTTCRTGAGTAAACTGTACTTATTTAGTTCGATTTTATGTAACCACAGTGTAAAATCTCTAACATTATTCAGAAAACTCGAGGTTCACAAGTATAATATTACTGTATATTATTATCACTGAACAATTTTGTCTAAGACCTATACAATTTACTATGGAAAACATTTTACCAGAATTCTGAAATATTTTACACGTATTTAAACGTTACAAAAAAGGTTTAATGCATTTTTCAGATCTACTTATTTGTAAGGAACCCCGCTGCGTTGGGTCAAAAAAAAAACTCTAGACTAATCTTAATGGTTTTTTAGTATTCACTGGATCGAACGATCGAATGGCGTCGAAACGGACTTAGCAGGGTATTTTAACGGAATAATACGTTAACATGGGCACAAGAGTGGCAGCAGCACATTTCTCGGACAAGACGTTCGTCGGGGTGCCACAGCTGCTAGAGGACCTACAAAAATTGGCCGACGATCATGAATCAGCTGATATTGTCTTCCTTATTGGTCGGGAGGAAGTACCCGTTTATGCCCATCGAATTATCTTAATGACAAGGTAAGTGTTATCTAAAACAAATTTAACAAATTACAAGTGTACAATATTCATCAGAAACAGACATATCTGTACARTACTTATTTTATTTAACAAAACTATAATAAGTKGCAAACTAGTAATTATATTAAGYACTTACATATACAATTAATTGTTTAAAAAGCTTAAATCAAAAAATATAAAACGTACTTATCTTTTATTAATCGAAGTTCCTCCAAAAATCCTATTCGATAATATTCTTCATTGCAAATTATGTTTTTTTGAATACACATCACATTTACTTATTGTTYAATATATTTATGAAATAAAAAATAGCTTTAATGGATTTATCATTTACTTAATTTGTGTAATATTGTATAATAATTTGTATGTAATGAAATGGTTCCCAAAGTGGTCCGTCAAGGACTGGTTAGACGTGGCGTCATTACGAGGCTATATCAACAACACACCCTCCCCGCGAAAAGTGTTTCTAAAATATATATTAAGTATCAAAAATATGTAATTCTAAGAAAATTAATGTTAGCACAGCCCCACCAAAAATTTCCTATTCGTATTTCTGTTGGTCAYTAACGTACCAGTACAATATTTATARTGACAATTATCCGAATAAGGCAATGAATGAGATGATGTAAATAATAATATGTTTTGTACGTCTTCTCAGTCACGCATGTAATTTATGTTATAAATTATAACTTAAACTTAATCAAAAATACAAAATGTAATTTTTTAATCAACGAAATATATTATGGCACTRCGCCTTTCAAAGAAGTAGGTTATAATATAATACAGGCTTTGAAATTTATACGGAATTGATATACTTGGCAATAAAGTACAATACATTAAAAAATATTATTATATATTATTTTCTAATTTTCTATGTTTACATATAATTAATACTGTATTATTATGATATTAAAAATTTGAGTATTTTTAAGCAAAATGTATGTATATCTTATAGTTAATAGGTATAATAATGTTATTAATATTGTAAGTTTATATAATTATATACATATATACATATCATTTAATGAGAAAAATTTCAATTTAGTAATAAAAGTTATAGGTTAGTAAATATTTAAAAGTTCATTATTTTAGTATTTATTCGGATCATAGTCTTAGGTTTTATCTATCGTGAAGTTGTGTGAACAATTTAATAGGCAATTGRATTACCACTTTATTTTCTATGTTTTTCTTGAATCATATATTATCATATATTATGTTGCTTCATACGTGTCTTTAATTTCAACTACATATATATATCGTAGCCACTTCGTGAAATCGATCTTTTCATGAAAAGATGACCATTTCGTGAAACGGAAACACGTTTTTTACACTTTG